TGCTGCATTCTTATCAGTTACATTGCTCTCAGCTATCTCTGATGACTACAGAACGCCTCCTCACTATGTTATGAAGAAGACAGGGGAGTTGTCGTCCTTTCCCCCTTTCCCCCTTCTGTTATCCTGATACAGGAAGGTGAATGAGTGTTGTCACCCTAAAACAGGAAGTGTGTTAGTGGCAAGGATCACTGGGTGAAAATAAGGTGACCGTGGCTCCCTCCATCAATACAGCAGAGGGAGTAAGCGTAGCCAATCAAGGACAGGAAGTGTGCTTATCAGGATTTACCGGGTGCAAATAAAGCAAAAACAAAAGCAGCCGCCACATCTCAGGACTGGTAAGCTGCAATTTAGTAAATTGTTCTTCTTGGGTTTAGATAGCCTGTAGCCTGGTAGCTGTGGAACTACAACTCCCATGAGGCATTCTAAGACTCTGACAGCCACAGGCATGACCCCCAGAGGCAGAGGCATGAAGGGATTTGTAGTTTCGCAGCAGCTGAAGTGCAGAGGTTGCCTGTAATAAGCTGAAGCTACAATGAAATAAAAGGCTGTTTATTGGTAAGTCTCCAGCAGAGGGCGCCGTTCATATACAAATGTATCCGGCTGCTGGAGGACCCGGGCCGACCCGCTGTACAGCCAGCCAGAGAAGATGGAAGATATTGCATGCACGTGTAGAATGGATCCTTCTAATTAAGCTTTGCTGCATCCCCGAAAAATAATAAATATATAAACATTTGTGAGGCTGCAAAGCACTTCAAGACATTCCAGATGTGCGTCTTCCTTATTGCGGCGCTCCCCCAGGAAAGCGTGCGCCGTGCTCTAAAATCATTAAGAAAATAATATAAAGCTTCGCTTGTTGATTCTAATATCTGCAAACAGTTCTATCCCCCGAGAGACGAAACATTTTCAGATGTTACCATCGCCATAGAAACACAGAAGGCTTCCCTGTTAATAATTAAAATATTTGGACTTGTTTTATGAACATGTTATGTTATTGTAATCTGGTTTGCAAACAGCGCCGAACGTAAACATAAAATGCGATCTGATCGGTCTGAAGGCGCCCCGGAGATCGGCGACGTGTCAACCCGAGAGCAGAATCATTTCTAAGTTTCCATCTGGATTCATTCAGGAACTTGGCAACGCAGGTCTGTGTGCCCTTGGAAACAATAACCGGGACACGCTGACACTTGGGGGGCCCAGATCAATGACGCACTGACACTTGGGGGGCCAGATCAATGACGCACTGACACTAGGGGGGCCAGAACAATGACACACTGACACTTGGGGATCCCAGAACAATGACACGCTGACACTTGGTGTCCCAGAACAATGACACACTGACACTTGGGGGCCCAGAACAATGACGCACTGACACTTGGGGGGCCCAGAACAATGACGCACTGACACTTGGGGGGCAAGATTAATGTCTCACTGACACTTGGTGTCCCAGAACAATGACACACTGACACTTGGGAGGCCAGAACAATGACACACTGACCTTGGGGGGCCAGTTCAATGCTGCACTGACACGCGCACTGACACTTGGGGGCCAGAATAATGACACACTTGACACTTGGGAGGCCAAAACAATGACACACTGACACTTGGGCCCAGAACAATGACGCACTGACACTTGGGGGGCCAGATCAATGTCGCACTGACACTTGAGGGGCCAGATCAATGACGCACTAACACTTGGTGTCCCAGAACAATGACACACTGACCTTGGGGGGCCAGTTCAATGCTGCACTGACACTTGGGGGGCCAGATCAATGGCAGACTGACACTTCGGGGGCCAGAAAAATGACACACTGACACTTGGGGTCCCAGAACAATGACACACTCACACTTGGGACCCCAGAACAATGACACACTGACACTTGGGGGGCCAGATCAATGACGCACTGACACTTGGGGTCCCAGATATATGATGCACTGATACCTGGAGTCCCAGAACAATGACGCAGTGACACATGGTGTCCTGAGACAATGACGCACTGACACCTGGAGTCCCAGAACAATGACGCACTGACACCTGGTGTCCCAGAACAGTGACGACCTGACACATGGTGTCCTGAGACAATGACGCACTGACACCTGGAGTCCCGGAACAATGATGCACTGACACTTGGGGGTCACCAGCTCCTCCCTGTGGCAGGGAGTTGACTTTTCCTGGAGCAATGACACACTGACACTTGGGGGGCCCATAACAATGACACACTGACACTTGGGGGGCCCAGAACAATGGCACATTGACACTTGGGGTCCCAGAACAATGACGCACTGACACTTGGTGTCCCAGAACAATGACACACTGACCTTGGAGGGCCAGTTCAATGCTGCACTGACACTTGGGGGTCCAGATCAATGGCACACTGACACTTGGGGGGCCAGAATAATGACACACTGACACTTGGGGTCCCAGAACAATGACACACTCACACTTGGGGGGCCCAGAACAATGACACTTGGGGGGTCCAGAACAATGACACTTGGGAGTCCAGAACAATGACACACTGACACTTGGGGGTCCAGAACAATGACACACTGACACTTGGGGGTCCAGAACAATAACACACTGACACTTGGGGTCCCAGATATATGATGCACTAATACCTGGAGTCCTAGAACAATGACGCAGTGACACATGGTGACCTGAAACAATGACACATTGACACCTGGAGTCCCAGAACAATGATGCACTGACACCTGGTGTCCCAGAACAGTGACGACCTGACACATGGTGTCCTAAGACAATGACGCACTGACACCTGGAGTCCCGAAACAATGATGCACTGACACCCGGGGTCCGTGAACAATGACGCACTGACACTTGGGGGTCACCAGCTCCTCCCTGTGGCAGGGAGTTGACTTTTCCTGGAGTAGTGAAATTTGCTAGAAATTTTAATGGACACATGTGATGCCATGGACATGTGTAATGGATGGCCAGTTGTCGTTTACATATGTGATGGATGGACTGCTGCCATGGACAAGGGTGATGCATGGACTGTTGCCATAAACAAGTGTAATGATGGACCGTTGCCATGGACACATGTGATGATGGACCGTTGCCATGGACACATGTGATGATAGACAGTTGCCATGGACACATATCAGCTCTTGCCTCCCTGGCTCACCCCTCCCCGTCACTGCAAGACGCGCCCGATCCTTCAAAATCACGTGACAGGTGGTTCTGCCTGGTCATCATTACCAGGCATTCTGCGCGGAGCACGTGGTTCGGTGACGTGAGGCCTAGGAGGAGGAGCGGTGGGCGTGACCGGCCCAGATCACTAGCAGGGCGGGAAAGGGAGCGCGGCACACAGAGTACGGCGTCTGTCAAGGGTCACTCACAACAACGCTGCCATGCCGCCCACCGGCAAGGATGCGCTCCGGACCCGGGTGCAGGAGCTTGTGGACAAGAACCCGGTGATGGTGTTCAGTAAGAGCTACTGTCCGTACTGCATCCAGGTGAGGGGGCTGGGCCTGTCTGTGTGTCATGTGTGCGCGCGCGCGATCAGTCAGTCCCGGGCTGGGATGAGGGACTACAAACCCCAGCATGCTCCACTGAGGAGCTACTTGTTCTAGCATGCTCTGTTTTACTCATGGACTCTGTTTCCCAGCATTCTCTGCTTCACTAAGCGGCCACATCCCAGGATGCTCTTCTCTTAGGGACTACAGGTCCCAGCATTTTCTACTCCCATAAGGGGCCACATAACCCAGCATGCTTTGTTCTTTTGAGGGTCTGTAGACCCTACCAGTATGGTATTGTGAGACTACAGGTCTCGGTGCGCCATAGAGAGGGACTGCAGGTCTCAGCATGCCAAAGAAGGGGGCTACAGGTCTCTGCGTGCCATGGAGGGGGACCTCAGGTCTCTGCGTGCCATGGAGGGGGACCTCAGGTCTCGGCGTGCCGTGGAGGGGGGCCTCAGGTCTCTGCGTGCCATGGAGGGGGACCTCAGGTCTCGGCGTGCCGTGGAGGGGGGCCTCAGGTCTCTGCGTGCCATGGAGGGGGACCTCAGGTCTCGGCGTGCCGTGGAGGGGGGCCTCAGGTCTCTGCGTGCCATGGAGGGGGACCTCAGGTCTCGGCGTGCCGTGGAGGGGGGCCTCAGGTCTCTGCGTGCCATGGAGGGGGACCTCAGGTCTCGGCGTGCCGTGGAGGGGGGCCTCAGGTCTCTGCGTGCCATGGAGGGGGACCTCAGGTCTCGGCGTGCCGTGGAGGGGGGCCTCAGGTCTCTGCGTGCCATGGAGGGGGACCTCAGGTCTCGGCGTGCCGTGGAGGGGGGCCTCAGGTCTCTGCGTGCCATGGAGGGGGACCTCAGGTCTCGGCGTGCCGTGGAGGGGGGCCTCAGGTCTCTGCGTGCCATGGAGGGGGACCTCAGGTCTCGGCGTGCCGTGGAGGGGGGCCTCAGGTCTCTGCGTGCCATGGAGGGGGACCTCAGGTCTCGGCGTGCCGTGGAGGGGGGCCTCAGGTCTCTGCGTGCCATGGAGGGGGACCTCAGGTCTCGGCGTGCCGTGGAGGGGGGCCTCAGGTCTCTGCGTGCCATGGAGGGGGACCTCAGGTCTCGGCGTGCCGTGGAGGGGGGCCTCAGGTCTCTGCGTGCCATGGAGGGGGACCTCAGGTCTCGGCGTGCCGTGGAGGGGGGCCTCAGGTCTCTGCGTGCCATGGAGGGGGACCTCAGGTCTCGGCGTGCCGTGGAGGGGGGCCTCAGGTCTCTGCGTGCCATGGAGGGGGACCTCAGGTCTCGGCGTGCCGTGGAGGGGGGCCTCAGGTCTCTGCGTGCCATGGAGGGGGACCTCAGGTCTCGGCGTGCCGTGGAGGGGGGCCTCAGGTCTCTGCGTGCCGTGGAGGGGGGACCTCAGGTCTCGGCGTGCCGTGGAGGGACCACCTGGTCTATTCACTCCCTTTCTGTCATTCAGGGAGGTGGGTAAATCTTCCTGCCCAGGAATGGCGGCTGAAGCTTGATCTTCTAGCGCATGGTGGATTTTTTATTTTCCCTTTTTATGCCTTTTCAGCATTTTCTCGCATTGTCATTAAAAGGTAGAGCAAAGGGATTTTGCAGGCGGTTGAACAGTTTTATGTCTGGCAGGGAAAGCGCACGTGGAGGGGACAGTAAACAAATTTCACACCCATGCAAGTCACCATAGGAAACCCCGCTTCTAGTAACTAAAGAGTATTTCTCCTGAGTACATATCGGCATCAATAAGTATTTCCCTTCGAAATCGATTCCTCTTTCTTGTCTAACATTAAAAACAGACTCTGCTCTAATCTCTATGGTGGGACTTAGTCTAGACGAGGGGGTCATGGGGAGCGGATCCATTGTGGGTGTTGCAGTGTCTTGAACTGAGGCAGCTCTCATCCACATAAGAGGATCTCGGGAAGATCTTTCATCCATATCCTGTCCTCGGCTCACCTCTTCAACCGTACGGCACACTGGCATCCTATTGGCACCCCTCTACAGAGCATACTCAGGGGTGTCGAATTCCTATCACCCGACGCCCGGGACATGCAGTTCCTGGCGCTGGACAGGTGTTGCTGAGACCACTTGTTATAAGCCTGCTGCCTTCCTCCCCCGCCGTGGTTTTCGGGGTCCCTTGACCACGGCATATTAGTTGAGGATGGAGAGCGGGGACCAGACCAGAGACCTTTTGTTTTGCGGTCTGCTCCATGTAAACTGAGACAAGATCGCTGTACTTGCACCCTTTCGGTCACAACCGTCACAGGAGATCCAGCACACTAGAACTCCTGTATTGCAGGTGTCAGGTTCCATAAAGAGAACATGTCGCCTCCGAATGCTATCACTCAGGGGCTTGTTAACTTTATTGCTATTACGCAGGAGCTAGGGGTGGGGTGGGGATAAATAATAAAAAGTAAAAGATAATATAAATAAACCTTTTAAAAAAGGTAAAATATTAAAGAACCCTGCCGTCCCATCTGCATGCGTAGGTCATTGTGAGTGCTGCCCCCATTACACTGTGCCATATTGTGATGGCCACAGTGCGCATTAAGGGTAAGTTTACTTTCCCCAAGTAATTTGGAAAAATGGAGTTACCCGATCAAATCTGGCCCCCTCTCCACCCTGCTATGCTTGCCTTACGATGAACAGTGCTTCCCCTCTGCCGGTACGGGTGTACTATCTGCTCCGCAGAGTGCTGTCCAGTGCAGCCCTGCTCTATGGATTTAGAATTTCACCCACAAAATGCGAGCACTGGTTGGTCAGCTCGGTCACCCGACCAATGAGAAGCACTTCTTAGCACGGTTAAATACAATTTTTTTTTTTTAGGGCAAGTAGATTATCATGAGGGGCAAGTAGATTGGCCCCACACTCCTTGGTCAAGGAGTTTTTAAGAAAATGTCAACACCCCTGATACTGCTTGTTGGCATTCCCTTAGCACTCCTCTCCTGCACAATACTGCAGCCTGTCGGCATTCCCTCAAGCTTTGTTCTGCACATACTGCTGCCCTCGGCACTCGTCTCTTTCTGCCTCCTGCCGTTCCCTCTGCACTCGTCTCCTTCGCTTTCTACCTCCTGCCGTTCCCTCGGCACTCGTCTCCTTCGCTTTCTGCCTCCTGCCGTTCCCTCGGCACTCGTCTCCTTCGCTTTCTGCCTCCTGCCGTTCCCTCGGCACTCGTCCCCTGTTCTCGCCTTAATACAATTTTTTTTTTTTAGGGCAAGTAGATTATCATGAGGGGCAAGTAGATTGGCCCCACACTCCTTGGTCAAGGAGTTTTTAAGAAAATGTCAACACCCCTGATACTGCTTGTTGGCATTCCCTTAGCACTCCTCTCCTGCACAATACTGCAGCCTGTCGGCATTCCCTCAAGCTTTGTTCTGCACATACTGCTGCCCTCGGCACTCGTCTCTTTCTGCCTCCTGCCGTTCCCTCTGCACTCGTCTCCTTCGCTTTCTACCTCCTGCCGTTCCCTCGGCACTCGTCTCCTTCGCTTTCTGCCTCCTGCCGTTCCCTCGGCACTCGTCTCCTTCGCTTTCTGCCTCCTGCCGTTCCCTCGGCACTCGTCTCCTGTTCTGGCCTGTCGGCATTTCCCCGGCTACTCCTTTTCTGTACTTTGTTGCCTGCTTGCATTCCCACCAATGCCCCTCTTCTGCACGTAGTGCCTGACTGCATTCCCACAAGCACCCTTCATGCACAATACTGCCGGCTGGCATACCTCCCCAGCACAATACTCCACCTCATACAGTCCACATTCTGCTCCTGCACTTCCTGCCCCAGAAATACCCTCTATGCACTTTGATGATGGGACACATACGAAGGTAAATAACAGACCTCTGAAGTCAGTCAGTAGCACTGTCTCGGCCTGTACAGCCCTCTGCAGTGTTTTTAATTTGACTGCAACTGGGAACATCTACGGTAGTGTGCAGACATGGTGCCGGTCCAATAGAAATGAATGTCTGTCTCTGTGGCAGAGGAAAGGTGGTTGGCCTTTGCGTGCGTTGAAGTTAAAAGAACAGTGAAGGTGCCCATACACTGTACGATTCTCATACGAGAATCGCGGGAAATCCCACGATCGTACGGTGTATGGAAGGCGTGCGACCGTTTCTACTGTAAGGTCGCACGTCTTCCGTCGAACAAGCAGGCTTGAAAACCCGCCGAGAATCGTACTGCTTGTTCGACAACTGCCGAGCGGGCCGGTGTGCGCATGCCCACTTGCAGTGATCGGAAGCCCGCCCCTCGCTGCGGTCATTGGAAGCCCGCCCCTCAGCAAGACGGGCTTTCGATGATCGCAAGTACGATCTGCCCGTCCAAGATGGGCAGATCGTACGAGCTTTCAATGAGCTTACGACCATTGCAAGACAAAGGTCTTGCGATGGTCGTAAGGTGTATGGGCACCTTTACAGTATTGTTACATCAAAGTGTGGTATTGATATGATGGAAAATATTTATTGTAATAGCCAAGCTTTAGTTGGGCAATTACTGGGTGTTTGGCTGAGAGGGATGTTTACAGGTACAATGTATTGTCATCTGCGTTTTCTTCCTTTGACCCTAATCACCTGGAGCTAATAATTCAGATCTTACCTGCATATTTGAGGGCTTGTTGGGTTTTTGGTAGTAGCAGGAAATCCTTAAGTTTTGTCTTGGAAGATAGATTAGAAGATTACTCTACATATAATGTGTAGAAAGTTAGGTCTGAATACAGCTTCCTGCAGGGATGAATTCTGCATTATCGTCTGGTGATTTTTGCAGTCAGACACCATGCTAGAGTAAACGTCATCTGTGCTTTTTCTATGGCATTCTGTTAAGCAGCATGTCTGCACATTTGAGTACAATTTCCATTATTTAGTGCGATTTTTATTCTTTTTTTTTTTATATATATATATATATATATTAGTACAGCTACTACATGTATCGTCAATTCTGAGTAAGGTGTTGAACTTGTGGTTCAACAACATAGTCTTGTAAAAGCTTATAGCCCAAATAATCTTGAAAATTAAAAAAAAAAAAAGTTACCTTTATACACACTTGGACAAAAGATTTAGATCGTTTTTCCATTTTGTATTGTCAAAAAAAAAAAAAGTTTGGGGGCAGCTTCACACCATTTTCCAGACAAGATCTGGTCTGGAAAATGGTGTGAACCTACTTGCAGTTCCAGTGCAGACCAGACATGAGACATGCAGTATTTTTCTGGTCTGGTTTAGACTGGACTGGGCTGGTGTGAAGAGGCCAGAAATAGCATAGGAATACATTAGGATGCATTTTGGTACCGGAAACAATCTGGTCTGGAGATGATGTGGTGTGAATGGGACCTCAGAGAAGCTCAGTCTAAATTCAGCAGCTGTATTGTGATTTCTATAACATACAGGTCCAGTAGGGAGGCTAGAGATGCTTCCTGTAGCTGGGAACACCGTAAATCTCACTGAAAGTTTATAAGATGACATCTACATTTCTTATTAAAAAAATACAATGATTCTTTTTTTTTTTTTGTTCATCTTAAAGGTAAAAGAACTCTTTACCTCGCTGGGCAAAGAATATGTTGCGCTGGAGCTGGATGAATGTGGTAAGATATTTCATAAAGATAATTGCCTCTGTAAACTTGCCTGTCTAGTTAGTCCTTCCTATTAATGTTTGACGTGTGGAGCTAACGACCTTCACCTGCTTCCAGAAAATGTTGAATCATTGTGCTGCGGTTTCTGGTGTGTCGTTACATGTGCAGAGGTAAAGAAGCTTACATAAAACTGACCTTTTTCTGCCTGGATAGAACATGAGTAGTAGTAGAGTGCTGGGTCAGCTAACAAAACGTAGTAGTAATAATGTACATTCAGCTAACAAAATGGCTCTCGTGTGGTTGGGCAAGATTCAACTTCCTTGAGTTTTGAATCACATCACCCAACTCCAAGGTAACTTCAGAAAAGCGAATATTTTTCTGTGTGTATTATTTATATTACATAATAGAAGTCACCAGCACTCGATATGTGCAAGAAGTAAAGCACTTTTTATTAAATTGTCACATGCGTCATACAGCCAACGTTTCAGGGCCACACAGGCTCCCTACTTCTTGGCAATATAGTGTGTGGAGTGCAGGTGATTTCATATTTATATAAGTCCCAGAGGAAGCCTCCGCACTCTTATTTGTGGATGCCCAGTTGGACATCCACAAAAATATCCATACAAATCCAAAGTAGATAGAGAGGCACCCACGGTCTTGCAGCGGAGATAAGTCGAAGCATGGGCATTTTTGTGTCAACGTTTCGATGGAGCTCAGTCTATCTTTCTTTATATAGATAGAAGTATAAACACGGTGTGTGTGTGTTCCTCTAGTCATGGTGTGTTCCTCTAGTCATGGTGTGTTCCTCTAGTCATGGTGTGTTCCTCTAGTCATGGTGTGTTCCTCTAGTCATGCTCTGGAGTGAGTGTAGACCCCATCCTAGGTAGGTGCTACACTGAGAAATGTTCCTTTTAGCCTCCTATTACTGGCCCCGTGTGCAGCCGTTCCTGTTTCAGGTAACATAGCAGATGTCAGGGCCTGAGGGTAATATCCTCATTTCATAATCGTGAACAGCAGGCCTATGACTGCCAACATATTTCAGGTGAAGGGTTAGTACTGAATGGGGTGAATTTAACATTAGCTGTCTCCCTATTACAAGGAAAATAACTTAAAGCAAGACCGTGCTTTGTCCAGTCGTGAAACAAGCAAATTAGGGTAAAGCAAGAGAGGTGTTTTTATTTACTTTTCTTGACTGCCCACCACTCTATTCAATGTTGGGAGCCACAGGGCATTCCCGGTACTTCCGAATGTGGAGGGGTATGTGGCTGACTCCATGTGAAAGCATTGGGCTAACCAACATTGTCACACAGGAAGTCCTTCGCAGTGTCGTAGCTTTCAGTGAGCGTTCCTTTAACTCCTTGTGGATGAAGGAAGGTAAAAGGAAAAAAAATTGTGCTGTTGGGGAGGACTAAGTGAAAGTGAACCTGTTGCTTTTCCCTTCTTGCTGATGCTCCAGTTGCTGACCTGATTTAGAAGATGCTTGTTCCCTGGCAGTGAGGGTTGCCCAACCGTGTCCCGTCCCCCCCCCCCCCCGGAGTCCATCACTACCTTCAGACTAGCATGCAGGTTGGGCATTTCCTGGTCATTGTCTGCTTACTTATTCCATGGCTATGATTCGCTAAGAAAGACGACAACATATACTTCTTTTTTACACATTTAAATTCGTAATCTTTTTCTGACCATTAACATAACCATTGTCATTTCTATTGTAGATGATGGCAGCAGCATTCAGGAAGTCCTCCATGAATTAACTGGGCTGAGAACCGTTCCCAGCGTCTTTGTAAATAAAACACACGTCGGAGGATGTGATAAAACACTTCAGGTAATTTATAGAAGTAACAGGTGAAAAAGCGTATGGCCTAGTGCTGCCTGATGGAGCTGCCGGAGTTTCTGGTGTGGTTTCTGACCTAACATTGGTAAACATTTAAAGCGTCAGTCCATCCCCCCAACTGGTAATTTGGTAAATGGGGAAGAGTTCAACCTCGGACGAGCTGGAAACTCTAGGATGCTGGTGTCCTGATAGATCTGTCCAGGACTTATTCCATCAGTCCCTACCTGTTGCTGAAATTTCACTGACCTTTAAAAAAGAGAGATGGATACACACACAGTATATCTTTGATAACCATTGGTATTTGTGATTCCTTTTCTCTTTTAATATGATCCCTGTTTTGTAATTCCATATTCTTAGGCTCACAGAGATGGGACGCTACAGAAGCTGTTGGACAAGGACGCCGTCACCTATGATTATGACCTGATAGTCATTGGAGGAGGTTCAGGCGGCCTGGCTTGTTCCAAGGTACCATAATGTGACTTTGTAATGTCCACCAAGGTTGTGTTCTGATTGTACATATTAAGTGGAATCTGTCACAAATTACCTGTGAGAGGCCGCAAGTCGGTATATTCCTTCAATATTCAAACCCCTTAATCGGATCCCCTCATGAATGATAAAGTCTCTAAAGTCAATAGCTCTTACCATGCTGCCTTTGGTGGATACATCAAAGGGCTTTAAATACCTTTCCTGGAGAAAATGCTGCTGTTTGTTCCCAACACTGCTGGTCACGTCAGCGAAAGCCTAAGCAAGGTTCTGATGACGGAACTACTTTCAGTAATGTTTGTGTGATTGAAGCCTTTTAGTTCTTTTGATCTTACATGCAGAAGTTTCTATAGGAAAGGCAAAAGGTGGTTATACTTGAGTACAGGTCCACTTTAAATTCTGTGGAATGGTAGGGATCCGATATCGGGGCTGATTGTGATTGCCAAGGATGGACCTTCTCAAGCAAATTTACCATTCCAATTGAACACCTTGAAGGTGACTTTTACTACCCATAGACAAGAGGATCCTCTGATGTAACAAATATCAGACTACGATGATCTTGTATGCGGTCCCAATAAAAGCGACCAGTGCTTCGCTTGTGAGAGTCGGGCCCTGTAGAGGACAAAACCACAGTGATAATGAGTGCATTCAAGGGTCAGAAGAGTTTCACATGCATAGATTAGACATGTTGGGGAACACGTTAAGCGCCTGTTGTTCCAGTCTGTATGGAGAACAGTGGATGAACTGTTGCTGTGTACATGGATTCCCCCAACAAGTCTGCGCGAAGTTCACTAATGTGGCAATATGACGCAGGCTTTGCAAGTTCTAAGAAAAATGTGTGTGTGATCAGACTTTACTTTCACTCATTCCTGACAATCGTCAATCTGTACTCCTTATCTCAGAAGGAGCAACTGAGGTTGCATACCGATCACTTGCTGAGGAGCACTCCCAAGGCTGTTATCTCAGGAGATTATCATGTGACTAATTCATGTGGTGAACCCGGGGCTGCCTCCATAGAGTGGGAGCTCTAGGATTGTGAAACAGATAACTTATGTGGGGAAAAAATCATTGCAGTAAACCTTAAAGTGATATGTCACTTAATGTAGAAAAATTTCCCTGCAACAAAGAGATATTATACTTGCCTGTCCCACCATTCTACTGATCTTTCTTTTGAAGGTCCATTGTGCCAAGATAATTCTTTTTATCCAACACACTTCTGGCAGGATCGGATATCTGGTCCCCCCCCATTATGCATTGTGGTTCCTTCTGCTATTCTCTACATCGTGACCATGCTTGCTAACGTTATTGTCCTGGGATACTGTTAACCCCATCTGTATTTCATGTGTCCACCTTCCATGTGGGTGTGGCCATATTATGCTTTTTATAGGTTTCTCCCATCCAGACCTCATCTCTGCATATGTTGGTACTGCCCACTCGTGGCCCTGACACCCGCAAAATAATGCCTCTTTGAATTGCTGTGTATGCGCAGCTACTATGTCCGTGGCATCAGAGGGACAAGGTGCAGGATTGGGAAATCCTGGAACAGTTGGCATTTATGTGCTACTGTGCCATGTAGTTTTCTGGGCTGGTGAAAGGAACCACATCGCTTGGCAGGGACCAAGAATTTGGACACCCCCAGTAGAGTTTGATGAGGTGTCCTCTCCATGCACTGTAGTTCTCAAAGAGTGTGGCAGGACAGGTAAATATATACAGCTAACCCTCCAATTTACGCCACGGTTAGGTTCCTGAAGGTATGATTGTAAAAAAAAATATATAAATTGAAACCTAGTATATAATGTAAGTCAATGGGAAGTGAGGGAGTTCGGTTCACAAATGGCATAAAGTGTCCTAATACGTTATATTTTAAAGCTTGGAAATGAATGCTAAACCGTATTATACGCAATATAATATAACCACATAGCACAGTATGTGTATCAAACCAAGTTTAATTCTCCAAAAAAGGAGAGGCAGCAAGCAGGGACAGCAACTGAAGAACCTCCATATGTCCAAGTGTACCTGTGCCACCAGCATGCACCCATGTGCCTCTATCTCCAGGGGTACCCCTGTGCCACGAGCATGTCTCTATGTGCCTGTGTACAGTGTCTCCAAATCTATCCCTGTGCCACCAGATCATCTCCAAGTGTACCCCCAGCGCAGCCTTAAGTGACATTAAACCCTCAGATTTTTTAACATAAACCAATACTGTAATGTGCGCCTTACTGTAATCCAAGGTGGTTTCCCTTCTCTTTGCTGCTCTTCCTTTTTAAATCCGTATCTCTTCTCATGCCGGGGGAGAACTTCTGTTTTGCAGCAGACTGCCTTGTCTCTGGAATGGATACATGGTGTCTGTGTGCAGGTTCACAACCTTAGCCAGCACTACAGGAAGAGGCACTCAGGTGCAAAGGGAAGTTCTCCCCCAGCATGAGACGAGAAGGTCACTTTAACCTTCCTGGCGGTAATCCCGAGTGTGGCTCGGGGGTAAATTTTCCCGTACCAAAAGCGTTAACCCCGAGCCACACTTGGGCGTCTTTCGGGTTCGTTCCCTGCGAGCACCAGCATTGCAGGGGTTCAGAGCCGGCAAGAAATTAAAAGAAAAAATACTGAGATAATCATAACGCCAGGGTGGTTAAGCACCTCCATATCTCCAAGTCTGTAAGTGTCCACAGGTATCTCACTGAGAAGAGACCCGTCCCGAGCAGTTGGAGATTCTGTACTGTAGCTACGTGGAGTTGCAGATAGGTCCCCCTGTGTATCCTTCCATGGCTGAGGTCTGCAGATGAAGGATACTCTAGATGACGCCGACTCTGCAGTGGTTTCAATGGCGGTCACGTGACCACCCAAAAAGGCGCAAACCGGGGGCTACCTGTAATATTTTTTTTACAGGGGTCTCTTGCATAGAGATGTATTATTCACGCTGCTCATTGTTAGTTCCCTTGTGTACAGATTCCTATGTACGGGTCGGTCTTGCTTTCAGCTCTAGAAATATAATCTCGTAACCATCCTGTTTAGTGAGCGGTTTTTCTACATTTTTTTTGCAATTCTTTTTATGGTTAATAGTTGTATAACGCAGAGCGTCTTAACACGGCACAGTTTCCATTCATCAACTAAACTGTTGTGGTTTTCTGGGTTCAGTTTTTTCCAGCCCTGACTGGGAGCGTATTGTCTTGCTGCCATAGGTAGACTTGTGCGGGTTTTTTTCTTCAGTCTTGCAGAGCTATACGGCTATAGAGCCTTTTTTTTACTAAAAAGAAAGCCTCCAACACTTTAGATGTGTCAAATATCAGCATCTCCCTGCTGTGGACTCGCCTGCCAGCAGCTTTGTCATTATTGCATCTTCAGAGATGCATATTACTGAAGATTTCCCACCTATAAGGGTGCTGTTAATACGATGGCATACACAGACATTTGTGCCCCTCTAACGTGGTGGCAAAAGAGAGACACTTTTCTGTTACATTATGACTGTGCCCCTGTGCACAAAGCCAGCTCCATAAAGAGATGGTGTGACCAGTTTGGTGTGCAGGAACTCAAGTGGCCTTCACAGAGCCCTGATCTCAACTCTACTGAACTTTTGGGATGAATTGGAACGCTGGTTAAGACTTCTCGTCCAACATCGGTACCTGACCTTCCAAATGTTCTTTTGCTGAATGAAGATCAATTTCCAGGCACGCTCCAAAGTCTTCCCAGAAGGGTTGAACCTGTTATGCCTGTAAAGGGTAGAGGTGGTGCAGCTCCACATCAATGGCCATAGTTTTGGAATGGGATGGTTCAGATGTCAACAACATTTTGCCCATATAGTGTATGTTCACACTGGTTAGTTAAAGGGCTTGTTTTTCACCCTTTTGAGCAGGTTCACACCACTTTCCGGCCCAGCTCTGGTCCAGAAAATGGTTTGAACCTGCCCGCAGGCCCAGTGCATTCCAGACCAGACAAAATGAAACGTGCAGTATTTTTCGCGCTGCAAGCCAGGAAACGGTGAGAACATGCAAAGTCCAGAAACGGGTAGTAATCGGAAATAATTTTGATCTGGATGCAGTATGGTGGTCAACCTCCATGTGTTTTTTGCACATCATTCTTTAACTCCAACCTATTGCAATGTAATGCATGCATTGTAAATGAGTTTAGTTGCATGGCTCAAACATTTCAACCTTTGCCATTATTGTGTAGCATACAGGTATAAAAGGATTGTTTATTGTGTTTGCTGTATAATGCCACTTTTATTGAGTATATCTGCTCAGTGTCCATTACCTGTCTGCAAACAAACACAACCAGCAAATCCCATCTATTCGCTGCCTAAACACAAGCTGATAAAACTGCTTGCTGTGAAAATCCTTCCACTGCAAGTCCAATGAAACACGACATTGCATTCATGTCTTCAGATGTGAGCTGAGGGTTTCAGTGCAGGGAAATGAGGCCGCGCCCGGTAGTAAGGTCTACTGCAACTCTTAAGGTGGCCATACACTTTGCTGTAAAGTAATTTTAAAAACGTACGATCTGCCCATCTTGGACGGGCAGATCGTACCTGCGATCATCGCAAGCCCGCCCCCCTGAGGGGCGGGCTTCCGATGACTGCAATGCTGAACGGGCAGTGTGTGCGTGCGCACACTGGCCCGTTCGGCAGTGATCTCTCGATCATGTTAAAAACCAGCCAAAAATCGTACGATTCTCGGCTGGTTTTCCAACATGCTCGATATACAAAAGACGTGCGACCGTACATTAGAAACGGTCGCACGCCTTCCATACATTGCACGATTATCGTACGATCGTGGGATTTCCCGCGAGAATCGTGCAGTGTATGGGCACCTTTTTTATACTTTCTCAGACATCCAAAAGGAATCTGGTGATCCCGGGATTGTATTTACATGTATGCAAAACCTTCTACTCGCTATTTGTTAGGGAAAAGTTCAGCAACTGCATTGTGTATATAGCACTGATGCTTTTATTTTTAGCTGCACCGCAGGAGATCTTCAGTCTTGTATCAAAATTTAGTTTGCTTTTACTATAATGACATGTTCAGCAGTAGGGATGAGGCTGGGCTTGGTTTGAACTCTGTTCGCCCAAGCCCCCTCAAAACTCTGACCACCTCCTCCCAACCCATATCGCTGGCAGCGGGGTGTTCCCTGCCACTTTGTGATGCATGGTGGCCGAGCATGTGCCTCCCCTCAGTTAATTTGGTTGGGAGGAAGAGGTAGTGGTCTGTATCGAGTGGGCTTGGGCGAATGGATTTTGCACCAATCCCAGCCTCTTCACTATTCAGCAGCAATCAGACAGTGAGGAATGGCAGCACTCTGAGCGACTCAGGGCTCTGGTGCTTTGCACATGCTGTCCTTCTAACACAGTAAGCATGCCTACTGGAGGTGGAGGGAGAGAGATATGGCACAGGAATAACCTAATCGGCATGTTTCTGCTCCTTTGTCTAATCTTGGCATGGGGGGCAAGTCCCAGACCCGGCTTTGTGCTTCCTGACTGAGTACACTCTCCCACAACCGAATGAGATTTGAAACTGTTTGGAGTTTAGTTTAATATCCTTGCGGTGTAGATGATTGGCCAGAGTGATGTGTTTTGTTTTGTTTTTATCTTGTTGGCCTTTTTTATAGTAATATTTATTGATCGTAGATATTCTCCATCTTCTAGGAAGCCTCTTCTCTGGGAAAGAAGGTCATGGTCTTTGATTACGTCGTACCCACCCCTCTAGGGACATCATGGGGTAGGTTTCTTCACATTCCTGCGTAGTCTTTTGTTTTTTTTGTTCTTTTATAATTTGTTATACTTATAGTCAGTGTTGTGTAGTCAGGATGTGGAATAACTTTCAGATTGCTGTGTAGTAAATCTGAGCTCCATATCTGCTTACACATGCATAAAAAAAAGCACAAAAAATTAAATAGCATATCTTCATTTTAATTACATATTTTGAAAGTGGGAAAGGAGGAAGCAGGAAGGCGAAATATAAGCAGATTAAACTTTCAGCTTTAATAAATACAATGGCTTGACCCGTCCTAATATTTCGGTGACTTGTTCCTTGTATTTCCTGCTATGTGAGATGATGTGGTTACCAGTCTATAAACTGCCGAGAACAATGACTGACTGTTTATCTCCTCTGACTTCCTCTGTCTTTGTTGCTGCTTAGTCATGCTGAATCTCTCCCAGCTTCTCTGGTACTATAGCTAATCTTTATGACTGCTTTTGTGTTTAAACAGGGCTCGGTGGTACATGCGTGAATGTTGGATGTATTCCCAAGAAACTAATGCATCAAGCGGCTCTCTTGGGTCATTCGCTGAAAGACTCCAGGAAGTTCGGCTGGGAGTATGATGAGCAAGGTAATAAAGAATGCAATATGTAAAGTTTTACATTTTATAGACGCTGCATTGCAACATCCGTGCCTGTCGCACACTTTCACAAGACGTTTTGCATTGTTAAAGCTGAATTCTGGGAAGATTTTTTCAAAAAATTATTCAGGTGAGTGTTCATTAAAAAAAATAGTAGGGCTGCGGAAATTCGAGATTAACTTCTCGATTAATCGTTCAAATTTTTGATCGATTAAAATTCTTTTGATCAAAAATGAGAATCACCTCTCCGTCGGCTTCCGTGTCTTACGGGAGTCCCGTCGGAGATCCGGTGACGTCACGGACATCGACTTCACCGGACTCCCCCCCCCACCCCCACCCCCCAAAACAAAATTTTAATCAGTAACAGCCCTAAAAAATAGTAATTGTATACATGCTTCTCAGTCTGCGGCTTCCCATTTACTTTTCAGTCTCAAGCATGGAAGGGACAAGACTTGATGAAGGGAGTTTCCCTGTCGGTAAATTCGCCTTTAGCTGGCAATACACTTCTATTTTTTTTATTTTTTTTTCGTGCACGTTGAGCAATGAAACCCCTCTGTTTTTTTGTATCCCAACAGGGATCTACTGGCCAAAGTCTGATTCACCTGAACAGAGCTGCAGCTCATTGGCTGCCGGCTTTGTTTGTACAAAGATTTTCCCACCGGCTCCATCGATCATCTGATCAATGGATGATAGCCATATTCCGAAAGGTTGGGTGCCACTTTCGGCGGTCCAAACGCCTCACCTGCATCCAGAAACGAAATTTTTTTTTTTTTTTTTTGCTTTAAAGCTGCAATCTGGGCACCAAAACTTTCATTTTAAATATATTCCTCAAGGGTCACAAAGGATATAAATAATTTGTGTGCACCATATGCATTTGGAAACCCAGAAAACACCCTGGTAGTGACATCCATGTGCTGTACATGGCCTGTGCAGCGAGCATAGCTGTGAGAGGGGCTCAGCAGGCTCTACCCTTTACAAGCAGCCTGCAGAAAACGACAGGAGGGGGCGAAGACGAGATCAGTCACTGTGCACAAGGAGAGAGCGCAGCACTGAGCGGTCTTTATTACAGGAAGCTCCAAGTCTCGCACTGGATTACTGCACAGATGTGGAAGAAATACACAAAGCTCCCACAAATTCAAGGAAGAATACACATGGCTCTTGTATTTGGCAATATTTGCTTTTTTCAAGAGTTCAGCTTTAATTCTAAGTAGTAATCCATAAATAATGGTCACTTTTAAAATACATGTTGTTGTGTTTTTTACCTACAGTACAGCACAACTGGGATACAATGCGACAGAATATTCAGGATTACATTGGCTCTTTAAATTGGGGCTACAGAGTCTCTCTGCGGGACAAGAATGTTCGATATGAAAACGCATACGCGGAGTTTGTTGAACCACATAAAATAAAGGTAAACTAATTTCTTTACCGCAGCCCTTGTGAGTTACCGTATAGAGCAGCTTCACTATGCAGATTGTGGGGCACCTACATGGAAGAGGCATTGTACTGGTCTGCCCTCTGCCAAGAAATGGTCAGGTGTTGCAGCTTGGCACCTTCGTGAATGATCAGCGAGGACACTTGTGGTGGGTGTATGCTAGTACCGTACCGATGAAAGTTGACAGTTAAAGCTGCGCACCCAAGTCTGATCTAAAAGAAAGCATGTTTCTTCCTCCTGGCCACTGGCTGGTGCAGTCTTTAGCTGTGCAATCTGCTGTAACCCCTAAGTATGTAGAGAGAGGGTTTTAAATGTGCTAAAGACCATAAAATCAATAAACGATATTGTATCGTGCTTGTCTAAAATGGTAACGTACAACTCTATACATAACGACATAGTAAAAGACAATGTCATGCAATTATCTCAAAGCAGGACCACAATCTGGGTTACTTCAGGGGTGTCTTGACGCGTTTCAGAAGGAAGTTTGGATTATGCAAATAAAAAGTGATGCCGTAGGTAAAACGCAGGAGCAGCATAGTATTCCACGGGGGTGGGGGGGACACGACACACACTTCCCAGGAATAAGGTAATCCCTACCCTGGTGATCCAGCGGCTTGTCCACCCACGTGCAGCTACCTGCTGATCAGTTGGTTGATTACACTCCGATCCGCTTCTCGAGGTTTGCAGCACCTATTGGCCAGAAGGTAGGAACATGCCTCTGAAGGGATGCCGGGGATGTGTTCTTTTCATATACACTGGGGCTAAGTGCAGAGCATGGCTTCCTCACGGGGGGCAAATCTGGAGCATGCGCAAAGAGTGACAACTCTGAAGCTGTAGAATCGATGTTAAAAGCGCTGCCTCTCTAGTAGAGGGAAATGACAGGAAAGACCAGCCATTTCCTATGTAATAGTAATGAAAGAAATGTTGAAAATTTTGTTCCAGTGCTACGGAAAAAAAAAAAATGTAGGTTCACTGACGCTGTCTCTTATTTTTAGGCAACAAACAGGAAGGGAAAAGAGAGCTTCTTCACCGCAGAGAAGTTTGTAATAGCTACCGGTGAAAGGCCCAGGTACCTCGGTGTCCCTGGAGATAAAGAATTCTGCATTACCAGGTGGGTATATCTCTTCCTTGTGTCTGTACCATGTGATACATTCCAGACTGCAAAGATCTCTTGAGGACGTGGTGCCATTTCCCTGATCTCTGCTGTTACAGTTTTATGGTTTAATTTCATCTTATTAGTTCGAAGTCTCTAAAAGCCTTGTGTAATGTGCAATATAAGCCAACTGTCCTGCGGTGGTTTATTGCACACTGGTTATTCCCTCCCACTTCTACATAGAAGGACTGAACTTCATGAACCCGTATATGTAACTTGAATACAATAAAAAAAACCTTGCGAGAGCTGATAATGCTACTTAGGAAATCTTGCGGCAGCGTTGGGCTTAAATGGTGAGAAGGGCTTCTTAGCAAACGTAATTCGAAATGCTCGGGGCTGCAGCTTGGTGTATGGACAGTACACCGGCTGCGGCAGGTGGGGAATGGTGGTTCCCTCAAAAGTATGACTAGTGATGGTGGGGAGAGGGGACAGATTTGTCGGGGTGATTTCCAATTGCTCAAATTTTGGTAAGAAACTTGAATAACCCTTTAAAAAAAAAAGTCAACTTGATCAATAAAGAGGATCTGTACGGTTGGAGCTATGCCCAAAAAATGGGGCATAGGACTAGTCTCCACTATTGCCTGTAGACTTCCTGCAGCTGATCTTTCCCCATTAGTAACTTGCCGTGCTTTGTTCTGCTCTATGTGGAGGTGGCCAGCTTGGTAGAGGCAAGGCTTTGTTTCCTCATGTTGAAGCTGATTTCCTAAAGACTGGTAGGCTCAGGATCAAGAAGCTGCAGGGGAGGTGGAGAAAGCACAGGTCCCTATAGTATGAATGAAGCGGCAGCAGGGAGAACATTGCACTGCAGGTGTTTAGATACAGCTTCCCCTCCAGCAAGGAGAACAGTAATGGCATCATCAAACCTCACTCCAAATCTGGTGAGACTAGATGGTGAGACAGTGTGAGATCATCTAAGGCAGCAGTGCCTTAGATGATCTCACACTGCAGATGTACAACTATAAGGCTACGAAACAGGTGTGCCTACAGGAAGTGCACACAGAAGGATTTCAAAACAAAAGGTAAATCTTTTAGGGTACAACTTAGGCACAATGAGCATTTCTCTAGTTTTCTTCAAGATGGCAAATCTTCACTCCTGGGTTCAAGTCCACTTTTTAGTAATCTAAGACGCTTTCCTCATATGAAGTGGTGCAAGAAGTTTCTTCACTTCTCTTCTGTTTCATACACAGTTTAGTTATGTATTGGGAGGTCTCGTGTGTTTGGCTTAACAAGTGTGTAATTATTTCCTGCTCATGTCACAAACATCCCTTTTGGTGACCTGGAGTGAAGGGAAACTCAGAAGTGTGTTTTCTGCGAATGTCATTTTCTTTAACTGACATGATAAAAACACATTTTGATTGCTATGGTTCATGCCATGAGAATTCTGGCGGTCTTGGCTATCCTCGGACTTCTGTGCTTTGAGACGCTGACCCGGCACAAGGATGCAGCAAGTCAATTGACACACTTTATGTGGGTCAAGCTATTAAAGCCGAAGGATTAGCATGACGGTCAGATTGGATTAAAGCCACTTTCTACCTTGTTTCATAACCTACAGTATGCTTACCCAGCTCTTCATAGAAATGAATCATAGGCAGCCACTTCTGATTAAATCAAACCCAACATCACATGTCCATTGTAGAAGGCTTATTGCTTAACGTCTTAAAGGCATCATATGATTCATTCTTGTGATCTTATTATTTGGGATTGTAGTCTGTCTTCTTGCTAGGAGCTAGTTGCATAGGACGCACCTGAATGTGTTGTGTGTGTGTGTGTGTGTGTGGTACATTAGGGACTCTACAACTGGTAACTAGTTATATTCCCATCGCACTTCTTCCTGGGAGACTCCTGCAATAAGAGTGCTGCTGCAACCCCCAGCTGATGAACTGGTATCAACATTGCAGAAAATGTCACCAGCACACTATGGATCCATATCATGCGATGCCACCACATGCCTGGCGAAGATGTCCTGTATGGCCCCAAAGGCTGCACCTGCATTATTTGGAATGCAATCGCTTTTAACAAATATTTGGGCTATATCCATCGTGTGCTGAGGTCATATTTTCTTTTGTGCAACCAGTCAGGTTAGTGAACTGGAAAAGCCATTAAAAAGAGAGCTATGGGGTAGGTGTTTTTCCCCATAGTTCTATTTAGGGTAACAGGAGGACATATACTAGCGTCCTCCCGTGACCCTAAGCTCAGTATATAGGGGACTATTCCACACAATATATTGTGAGCGCCGCAACCGGGACGGATCCCGACATTACTGTTGAGAACCACCCAGCTGCGTGAGAAGCAGAGCCAGCTGTACCCTCCCCCGTCTGTTCCTCCAGTGACTGCCAGTCACCGCTCACTGCAGGCAGACTATCGGAGTGACCCGATCAGTGCATGCTTCTGCTCACTTCCCGATCGATAGAGCCGACCTGTGACAGCTTCTTTGTCACAGGTCGGCTCGATCTATGAGGATGAGTGGAAATCACTCGCCTCATAGATCTCCTTAATAATAAAAAGCTGTGCAGGAGGTTTTTCCTTCTTGGAAAGAACATTGTTTTGGATACCTTTTACACTTAAGTCTTTTCCTTCCACCAGCCTATGACCAGACGGCACAGCTTGTCTAGAACACTTTCTCCTCCTATCGGCAATGCTCAGTGTTAATGTCATTAGCACTACACCACAACTGGCTGGCTTTGCTGCTTTGTTTCCGAGTCTGAGCTCTACCAATTCAGGCATTTACACTGCTTGCATTAAATCGTGGGATTTGTAGTTCCCCCCCAACAGATGGGAGTGCAGAGGTTGCCCACCCCTGCTTTAGATGGACTTTAAGCTGGAGCAATTTCACTGTTCTGACCCTGCAACTAAATATCAGTTTCCATTTCTCCGTTGCGGTTTGCGGATTATAAAACCAATACTCTAGAAACATTTCCTTTTATGAAATGGCCGGAATTAATTATCTGAAAGCTCATCATGAAAACAATCCTCGGAGATGACCGCCACAGACTAATTTAGAGCTGGAAGAATCCCAGGAGACAAGTGATCGGCTTCCCTAAAATAAAGCTGACCTCATTTTTTCAGACAGTTTTACTTCAGTGGAATTGCCGATTTTTATTCTGGTCTAAAAATAAAGTGAACGGCTCCTCCAAATGATTAGTGTCCCCCTGAAATGAACTGCAGCGGTTTGGGTTTGGCTGTCTAAACCTCTGATCTATATATCTGTGTGAATTTTGACATGAAAGGAAAAAGCTTGGCGACATCTGTTTTCTAGTTTGACCCTTTGCTGATTTTCTAAACCGCTTGTTGTTTTGCAAGGTATTGTCCAGATTTTTGACATCTTTTCCATGTGATGTTGAACCGTCTTGTGACCATTCTGTCGTGTTAAGGTCTGGGAGTTTTTTTTACCTTAATGCATTCTCTGCATTAGGGTAAAAACGGCCCAGCACCTTTTTTCTACCCCAGTCCCCTCCACACTTACCGGTCAGCTGCGCTCGTCCCTGCCGCCGGTCCCGAAGCGATCGTCCGTTCCCCGAACTTTCGGGTTGCGGGGGTAGGATACTGATGGCAGAGGAGCTCCTTCTGCCATGAATCAAAGAGTGAAGGGGCGTAGCCTGCCACAGGGCTGTGTGTGTTTCTATGGACGCACACACAGCCACTGCGCGCACGGGTGCATCCATTAGAACAATGGTGGCACCCGTGCAGGGTCGGAGGAAAGAGCGCTGCGGGGAGCCACTAGAAAACGAGGAATTAGAAACTTTTACAGAAAAAAAAGCAACAGCCTCCAGCAAAGGAGGGTCTCCTTTACAGGAGAAATGAAGAAAAAAATTATGCTGTAATATCACTTTAAATGTTTGTGATTTTAATTGGCATAAACCGAAATCACATCAGCAGACAGCTCTACATGCTGATATGAAATCACATCACATTACATGAATTCAACTTGTTTTTCATTTACTTGCAAAAAGAGTTCATCTACCTGCTGGTCTGGTTCTGGCACAAATGATGTAATGTGCCCACGCATTGCATCCTGGAAAGGTTGCATCAGCAGAGCATTGCTGGTCCAGCCAATCGGCATGGAGCTGGCTTCCCTGGCTATCGGAAAGCCGTTGATGGCCGGGAAGCCTCCATGCTGATTGACCAGGAAGCTGGCTCCATGTTCCCCCGCAGCGTTGCCGGTCAGAGGAAGTTCCGGTATAGGGATAAGTAACGGAGCGTTTGGTCGAGTAAGAGTACTCATCCAAATACTCAGCATCGGCATCCCTAGTCACATGTCCTAGTCGCGTGCCGGAGATCCTGGAAGTAAAGGGAGATCTAGTAATCTGCCCTTAGTAAATATGGCCACTGTCCAAGACTGGGCAAGAAAAGAAACATAAAGAATGCAAAAAAACAAAGCTGGCAATGATCTAGAAGTATGCATTTGTAGATTGACATTACTAAACATTTCTAAAGGTGTGTTTGTTATTTTAAAGATATGTGTAAAGTTCCTCAAGCATGCACATACATTGGTGTTTCTGCACTAGGTGATGGCTGCCTGGACTTGTACCACAAATGTAATATGGATAATCTCCAGCAGCGTGCAGTTCGTCCTGGGATGTGTAGGTGGTAGATTTTGATTGTCCAAGAACAGGATTTTTGGACCCTCCCCTGTTCTAGTTACATAATCCTATTCTTAGTTTCAGGAAGTCTGCATAGGTGCACATTTTGGACAGAGGACAACTGGTACACGAGGCATGAAAGAGAGGCCCTCTGTCACACTGGAACAGCCTTCCCTGGACAGGAGTGGGGGCCTTTAACCCCTTCGGGGCTGTTTTAACCCCTTCGGGGCTGTTTTAACCCCTTCGGGGCTGTTTAAACAGACTCCCGGCGACTTTTGCCGCCGGGAGTCTGTTTAAACTTGTAGAGCCGACTGTCGGCTTTACAACAGAAGCGATCCTGGCGACTTACCTGTCGCCAGATCGCTTCTGCATCCCGAAGAAGGGGCCGCCCCCCCCGCCGGACGCCCCCGCCGTGCTTCCCGGGCTCCGTTGCCCCTCCTACGGGCCAGGGACCGGCGATCTTTGTGTCCGCGGGGAGCTGGGGAGGAGGTCGACGAACTTCCGTTCATCGATCCCCTCCCCGTTCTATGGGACCGGGAGCGATGCAGATTGCATCACTTCCGGTCCCTGGGCTGTCAGTTCTGGGCTCCTGCAGCCCAGCTATAAGCTATTGAAGTGCGATCTGCACTTCAATAGCTTATTTCCAGTGTAAAGGTGACACTGAGGGTCTTTTGGACCCCCAGCATCACCTTAAAGAGTACCTGTCACCACCATCTGCTATTACATGGGGGGGCTTGCAAGCCCCCCCATGTGATAGCAGTCAAAGTAAAGTAAAAAAAAAAAAAAAAAAGTTTTTAAAATTAAAATGAAATAAAATAAATCTAATAATAATAAAAAAAAATGTAAAAGTCCCCCGCCCCCGCGAGCACGCGCGTCGCCACGTAAACACGCGTCGGGTGCGCCTACGCATGAAAACGACGAACGCGCTACACATGTTGGGTATCGCCGCGCACGCCGGAGTGAGAGCAATAATTCTAGGGCCAGTATTTTGGGGTATCTCTAAATTGATGACCTGTGGGGGCTTTTAAAGTGTCTTTTATTGACTTTTTGGGGTACTGCAGTTTTTCGCCGTTTCACGGTCGCACGCAATCTGTAAACTGGGCATGTTGGGTATCGTTTTACTCGTTGTAACCTCATCTTTTATATTTCATTTAAAAAATGGGTAATTTGTTGTGTTTTGGGGCATTTAATTAAATTTGTCACTAAATTTTGGGGTTTAATAAGGAGTTGCGCTAATATTGCGCAACATAAAAATTTTCAACTACCACCATTTTATTCTATAGGGTCTTGGGATTCAGAAAATATATAATGTTGGGGGGTTTTACGTCATTTTCTGGCCTAAAATGTGGAATATAACATGGGTGCAAAAATGGAAAAAAGGGCCTCAGTCATGAAGGGGTTAACACCATCTGTCATCCACATAATATAATGCTGTTATAATGTCTCTGCCCTGGAGAGTTTGACAATATACATTTTTAGCCCCCTGTACAGACACAAAGAATGGGGTTATGCAATTGGAACAGAGGGGGAGGGGGTTCCACAACATTCACACCTCCCATTCTGTTGGACAATGCACATCTAACCATCCCATGGTGAAATGGTAGAACTGAAGTGACTTGGAGAAGCTACGAAACGTTTTCAACCTTTCAGATCTAGTTGAATGTTACTACTAGTAGGGATGTAATGGCTGCAGAAAGGTCACATTAACGTTCAGTTACTAAATCGCTTCTTGTTAATTGTGTTTGTCCTTTTTGTCTTCCTCACAGTGATGACCTTTTCTCTCTGTCGTATTGCCCCGGGAAGACGCTGGTGGTCGGTGCCTCCTACGTGGCGTTGGAATGTGCCGGTTTTCTGGCTGGTATAGGCTTGGATGTGACAGTCATGGTGCGATCTATATTTCTTCGTGGCTTTGACCAGGAGATGGCAGAGAAAGCCGGCGCCTACATGGAATCGCATGGCGTGAAGTTCATCAAGAAATTTGTACCAACTTCTGTAAGAATTTTTATTCTGATGTTTAACATTCTCTGCAAACTGCTGCACTCCTTTGCTCGTGCGAATAGAAGTCATTTTCTCCCTTAAAACTATTCCTGTTTAAGTCAAAGCCCAACTCCAGAGCAAGTGTTTGTCTTGGAGAACCTGATTATTATTTATTATTGGTATTTATAGAGCGCCAACAATTTACACAGAGCTTTACATAGTGCAGATTCACGTAAGTAACTGCCCCCCAAGGAGCTTACCATCTAAGTTCCCTACCTCACATGCTTACATACAAGGCCAACTTAGCCAGGAGCCAATTAACCTACCAGCATGTCTTTGGTGTGTGGGAGGAAATTGGAGGAAACCCACGCAAGCACAGGGAGACCATGCAAACTCCTTTGATTTAAACCAGGGAACCCCAGGCAGAAGCACTAACCACTACGCCACTGTGCTGCCCATTACCTTGTCGATTTCAGTGCAAAGTGTCAGGTCTGTGCAAAGGCCACCTCCGGTCCAACATATACTTGCCTCTCCTTCTGTGGCTGCCGATGCAAAATGCCCAGAGCTTTAGGGTATGGGGGGCATGTGACCTCCTCATGATTCAGTGTGCGGGCATAGACAGTTGCGTGGTCTGAGCACTACCACATGATGCAAGGGGCGAAGTCACTGCTACTCTAATTGGCTTAACATTCCTGGCTGAGTCACTAATTTGTCAAATGGACTTTTGAATGACAGGATGGGGGGAGAGATCAGAAAGGATCTTGCTCTCTCTTCACCCGCTGCTCCCTTGTGACTAGCTGGTCAAGTCTTCACAACTGTGTCAAAAACTGTGGAACCGGCACACGATGATCTTCCAAAGAAATTCAAACTTTATTCCACATTCATCTATACAAAGCACAACCGCTGACGCATTTCTGCCTTACTTGGCCTTAGTCATAGCTTAGTCATTCACAACTGTGTACCAGTGCATTGGGTTCTGTGCTCCTATACTTTTATAGGAGCAATGACTTGACTTGCCATGAAGCTACGCATGTCCAGCTTCACTGCCCCAGGAGTAAAATGAGGCATCTCCAGTATTGTGTATTGCTCTTCTAAGTCAGGGAGAGCAGCAAAGATCTTTCAGCTCTAACAGTCGCTCTAGTCGTGTTGTCATCGTCTAGGGGATACAGTGATCTACCTTTTTTATAAATGGTGTAATTTTTGGTGCAGCAAAAGGCGCAGAGTGAGATGTCCCTTTTCAGAGTAATTAACACGGTAACTGATCCCCCCCACAGGTGGAACAGCTGGAGCCCGGGATGCCAGGGAGGCTCAGAGTCGTTGCAAAGTCCACTGAAAGCGATCAGATCATCGAAGGGGAATATAATACAGTAAGTGATCTTTGGGCTGGTCATTTTTTTTTTCTTCCATTTTTAATGTTTTACTGTATAAACTTTTTTTGTGGTTCTTGCAGGTACTGGTTGCCGTAGGCAGAGACTCCTGCACTAGAAAAATCGGCTTGGAGAAAATCGGTGTTACCCTAAATGAAAGGTAAGGCCCCGTTCACACCTTTACGTTTTACGAAGCCTTACCTTTACGAAGCCTAAGTCTTCTTGATTTGAAAGCCTTGCTGTGGGGGCCGGCTTTGCAGGAAGCGGGTCACTAAAATAGCGACTATTAAAGCAGAAACTTGTTGCGGATCCTTCTTCCTCTATTTGTGTTTGTTACCCTGTGACCTCCACTCAACATTTGGTGCTTTCTTAATGTGTGTGGGAATAAAGGTTGTTGTACAGTCAGGTCACTTTAGAACACATTATTATAAGGTCTCTTACAATCGGCTTTAGCGGATACACAATGCTTACATTAAAAAATACTCGCAAGTGAATGACTTTGGTGTGATTCGGTTTCCTTTTTTATGAGTAATGGACTTGCAAAATGACTTCACTAACCCCTTATGTGTGTTCGGTCTTTTTTTTTTCTTCCTTTTTAGAAATGGCAAGATTCCGGTGAATGACGAGGAACAGACCAACGTGCCTTCTGTGTATGCCATTGGAGATATCCTGGATGGAAAGTGGGAATTGACGCCAGTGGCAATCAAAGCAGGGCGCCTTCTCGCCAGGAGACTGTACGGAGGCGCCAATTTAAAGGTGTGAACGGCGTGCAAGTAGTGTCTGTCATTTGGTGCTTGTGGGGCCTGTAGAAGGTATTGGCTCATGCAACCCAGGAGCCTTTTGGTTTAGGGGGTCACGTGATCCATTAAATCCATTCACTTGAAGTTGAGAAAACGTTACACTGAAGCGAAAGCTGTTAATAGCTTGTTATTCAAAGATCAAATTTTGTCACTTTCCTGCTTAATCGGTCGAAATTCAATTCCAGTAGTGTCAAAAATGAAAACCGTGTATGGACAGCTTTAAACTGAA